AGTTTGCTGAATATATCGACGGCGATCAAGCTCAACAAACATTGCAGAATTTAAACTGTGCTGGAGGAGGGTTGTGGCAGCTTTCATGGGGCCAGCGGCTGGCCATGTTCTTCAGTATCAGATGGAACTGTTACAGTGGAGAATCAATCTTTATACTAATTCAAAAATCATCAAAAACTCTAGGACATGGGTCCAGCATTCCTCATTATAAAGGAACACACACATCCCTGAAAGGTGTCTTGAACGCACATCGCACGGCCAACCCTTCACAAGTTGTACCAGCTGAACTTCAGAGTGGTTCTGCGAACATCTTACTTAGTAGACCTTTGAACTATCTACTGTCAAATTTCTGACGATCTCGATAGCTTCCTTGAAGAGAAATACATCAAAACCCAACATGATGCTAAAACCTTCCCTCAGTTCATCGCCTCCAGAGGTCCAGCATTCCAAATAAACGTACCCTGTTGAACGGTTTCTTATAGAAAAAGATTCGCGCTTTCGAATGGTTTTTTAATCAACTCGAAAGGTTTAGCCCAAGCCGAGATACGTGCATTTAAAATTAGGGGCTGGAAAACGACAGAACTTTCTGAAACACCTAATAACTTGCATGCAATCGTCTAAAGAGGGAATCACGAATTTCGGATGAGACTAACATAAGTAGGCTAAGCAGTGGAACATACAGGGGGGGGGGCAAAAAAAGTCACTTTGCCCATGGCGCATATCATCAACTTTTCGTCGCAAAGGATGCCGCTGTTATTGGGAGTTATACGGCGAAATATTCCTTAGATGTCCCCCCATAAGCAGAATCAGGCCCACCTTCGCTGCCTTCACCGTCTCCAGAATATGACGTCATCTGTCATCACCGTCGAGCTCAAGGAGGCCTACCATAATCGCTCCATTCTGAAGCTGCTACATAATTCTTCAATCGGATAACTGGTGAATGGCTTCTTAGGGACACTAGCTCTGACTATGCAAATGGCTTTTGACCAGCGTTTCAGAGACGTCGTAATCGTCTATGGTTTCTCGACGACCTCGTTGAGCTCGTACCGTGAACCATGTTTCCGTGGGAAAATCTTCTGATGTCGTCGGTGTAGAAGGCCCCTATGTAATTTTGATAGATAGAATGTGCTCTTCAATATGCAATTGAGCTCATTCGGTTTGGTTTTGGCAAAGTGTAATTAATTCTGTTTTGAATGTGAGTGGCTCTTTTCTTTTCCTCCCCCCTGTATAAACGGCTTCAAACGAAGCTGTGTAAAAATAACGGATACTGAGAAGGAGAAGGAGTAAAATTTTCTTGCGTGAAAAGGTTCCAAAAGGCTGTTTGGAGAGGATATTATGGATAAGGACACACAGAAAATGCCTTCGATATGATATAGAGGGTGAATGCGGGCTTATGCGGTAGGAGACAGAGATGATAAAAGCTGATAAGGACTGATGCGGGGCGATAGAATGCAAATGTACCGGGGGGTCACGCACTGTCCAGCAGCATTGGGGCTTGCTCCGAACGTTTCTTGTGGGTAAGAGTGCACACGAGTGTCAATGACCATGCCAAATTCCACGGCTTACCGTTCGGCCTGCATCTCATGGTGCGCCTAAACTTCAACAGAGTGCCTAACCTCTCACACAGCTAGGTCGGACATCCGGTGATGAGCATCGCGCTTCTTTGGATTTTCAACCGCTCCGCGGCCTACCGTGCACTAAAGAGAAGACCAATAAAAGTAGTCTTTGTTGTGGCCGCCCCACAAGTTCTGACATCTTGGATCTCAGGAAAAGCATGAAGAAGCGAAACGACTGCAATACCCGGGTTGGCTCGAGAAAGGTGACCAGAACGCTGGAGTTTCTAAACACAGCCATGTAGAGAGTGGTCGGATAACAACTGCTCACAGTCCATTATAAGTTGCATAAGCACCACTGCTCAATCCAACGGAGGAGCACAGCAGAGACAAAAAGTTCAAAGAGTTGGTGTCGAAGACCGCAAATGCGATTACGCGGGCACCACATAATCTATTTATTCATTACCATATTCATCACCACAAAATTCCTCACATGGAGCGGAGCTACAATCTTCAAACTCCGAGGATGCCCGCATGAGGTCTTGAGGAAGTCAGTGAGAGTGAAAGGAATATTCGCCACAAGCAGCAGCCGAACCTTATCATGGTCTGGACGGGGGTCTCAACTACCGGTCGCTCACCATCACTGCCTGTTTACAAAGGAATACAACTTGATACTAGACCGAGCCAAGGGACATTTCGGTGCACCATCTGTTACTGAGGTATCTAGCCACTTTGAGGAGGGTGATGATCTTTTCAATAGGACCCAGCTTCTGCATAGGAGGCAAAAATTGTTTAGGAGCGCTGTTAAGGCACTCTCCGATTTCACATCCTCGAACGAATGGCTCTCCTATCCCTTCAGCGTGCTGGACCATCCTATGTGGTGGCTATGTTAGGGGCAGAACTAAACATTGCATCCACATGGATGAGCCGGAGCCTTTTCTCTGCAAAGTTTCGAAGAGAACACCCCAGGATGCCATGCGGGCCACAGTAGAGTTGCGTTCGAAGCAATTGGGAGCCATACTCACAACAGGGGAGCATATCCAATGAATGTCATTCCTTTCAATATGTAAATGTATTGCTAAAATTTTTGTAAAACCTCTTGAAGATACATCCATTTTGAAAGAAGTTACAAGTAAAGAAAAGTGGTGCAATATTTATGGGACACCCTGTACACCAACATACATTGCAGATTTGGGTAAAAAGAATCACTGGGTAAACATAGTGGTAACTTATAGTTAGAACTTTTCTCCGTAACCTAGCTTTCTATGATTTATTCAGGCTTTGGACAAACATGTTTCATCTAAGGACAAGGTGAAGATGGTAAGCTAATACAGTTCAACAAACAATTTTTGAGCTTACTGTACTGTGCTGATGAATACTAACCTCATTTTTCAGAACTCCGGCGAATCAGCAGAAGGCAAGGTGGGTGAATGTGGTACTGCTTATCATATGAACATTTCACTGAACGGAACACATGGTTTTAGCCTGTGAATTCGCGTCTCAAGGCTTCGAAGAGAAGAGGGGTAAGCCCCAACGTCCGGCGATCTCGAACCGCCTAGCTGAAACAGCTGAATTCAGAAGAATATCGAAATTTGCACGTTGATCTATTAATTTTTTCTTACTTCCGTAAAATACGGTCAGCAGGCCATTCATTTGATCTCCTCCAAATAGCAGAGTGATGAGCTGTGCAATAGATATGCAATGTTTTAGCAAAAATCTAATCCCAATTGACAGATTTTCATGTACTTTTCTAGTGTGATTCAGTGTCATTCCATTGTGATTATTAGAGTATAGAACGCGAAAATTAGCTTTATCGGCATCGCGTCTTTTTTCCTTTCCTCCTGTGAGGGGAGGCTTCGTTTTCACTTGGATGCAGTTTCCCAGAAAATGCGTTCAGATCTTAATTACGCTTAAACTTCAGAGATTTCGTGGTCGCGTTGTAGTAATACATGTAGTTTCCTGTATTTCAAACTAATATCATGTGCAGGTCTATACAAATTAATAATAAATCAGTTTGTTAAGTTGCATTCGGATTCAGAATGACCTCTGAGGATCAGCCGATGGTTTCTTTCCTCTCATCTTCTACTCGTCTCACTAGACGTTTCAATCGCACGTGGCATTTCGCAACAAAGGCTTCTTCGGAAAGTTCTGTAAATCTTTGGCTGGATGTATATCTATAGTAGCATCTGAGATGCTATTGAGCGTCTGAACATTGAACACTGAATCTCCAACTTCTCTTTTCTCGCAGTCTCGTCATGCTTTTGAATTTTATCTGCCTTATGAGGTTGTTTTGTAGAACTTTTATTCAATATCCTAACTTTTCGGCTGAATCCTTGTCTTCTGTGGCCAACAGTTCTACCGTTCAAGAGCCCGCTACTATGCAGGAACATTATTCAGAGTGGTGAATAAATAATCCACCTTACAACCTCGTAAGGTGTAGAGGAATAACACCCTTGCATCGAATATTGAATTGTTTTATCGGCCCTTATCTGTTGCAATCACTTTCAATCACCCATCCAACAATGTCCCCGTCCCACCCCACATAACACCTGTAAGTATGGACGCTCTGGTGTCAACGCGAGCTGGTAACGGAATCGACGACTTTTGCGTTCTGACGCCCTTATCAGCCCTTATCAGTTGTAACCACTTTCAATCACCAAAGTCCCCGTCCCACCCCACATAAGACTTGTAAGTATAGACCAATATGAACGACAAAACGAAATTGGCGATGCTCGCTTTCTAGCCCCTCTTATCAGCTATTATCAGTCGTTATCAGTTCCTATCACGTACCACTTGTGTCCCCATCCCACCCCCTATAACATATGTAAGAACCATGGCGCTGTGACTCGAGCTACGAATTTCCGGTCAACACACACACACCAACGGACACACTTAGCCGGTTATACAGTAGTGGCCAGAAATTTATGAACAAACGGTTTTTTCATGATTTCTCTTTTGAAAGTCACTGCAACGTCTCCAAATTTGCAACAATTATTAACACCTTGACGACAGCGCGGCAACTAGGTTTGCCGCGTTTTGCACGCCGCAATGGACATTGTGGCAACTATAGTTGCCACACCCTTTACATTCAGTTTTTTCTTGAACGCGCCATTTCTTCCCAGGTTTTTTGTGTTCATTTTTTAGGCCATACCACAACATAACCAAGAACCACGCGGCTTATAGAATGACCAAATATTCTTTAGTTTGGCAGAGGTTTTTCGGACCGGACGAAAATATCCGTTCAGTTCATTCCTCATTTTCTCTTCATTAACACGAACATGTAGATAAAAAAGAATATTAGAAGTGAGTACAAAGCTACTCGTGTGGCAAGATATGTGTTTTTACCGAAACAACCACGTCCAAAATAATTTTGAAATCACTAAAGCAAAAGTAAGTGAAACTTGCCTTTTCAATGCTGTAACACATCATTCGACCGCACTTTCACATGTGTACCTTCCAATAAGTTTGACACACCGAATATCAGTGAAAACATTTTGTCGCATCGAAGTATTGCGTATTTAAAGCTCAAAATCCACAGATTTGTTGTGAGGCGGCGGCGCTCGCAGAAATCGCTCTGGTCCCACGCGGCCAAAAATGCCAAAACGCGCGATGTCGTCAACGTGTAACTACGTATTTTATGATCCACACAGAAAATTTCAACCTTCAGCTCAAATTTGGGTTTAGAAAATTTTAGATTTTTCGAAATTGACTTGATCCGTTTATTTGATTTAAATAATGTATAACCCAACAGAACAGTCAAGTAAACAGTCACTAACATTAAGCAAGTCTAGCACATTGCCCAGAACTCTCTAAAGTATTGGATACATAAACTGGATTTGAATGCGGGGTCAACTAATGAACTCACTCTCTAGTGGGGTCTCTCTCTGTAGTCCCGTCTTTTCGTGGCTCTTTCATTGACATACGAATTTGTAGGTCCTCCCCTAGTGGTTCTGTAATGTTTGGCTCAAGAGTCTGGCCTGGCTGGTCTTTTAAAAGCACCCCATGCTGTCGAAACCACTCCTGCATGTGAGAGGCCCGACACGATGCTTCGAGTCT